CAAAACAAACTAAAAAAAATAAATAAGGACTATACATGTTGTGTGGTGTCAAAAGTAAACATCAAAAAAAAAAAAAGATAGGGGCGCCTGGGTGGTTCAGTCATTAAGCGTCTGCCTTCGGCTCAGGTCATGATCCCAGGGTCCTGGAATCAAGCCCCGCATCGGGCTCCCTGCTCGGCGGGAAGCCTGCTTCTCCCTCTCCCGCTCCTCCTGCTTGTGTTTCCTCTCTCACTGTCTCTCTCTCTCTGTCAAATAAATAAAACCTTAAAAAAAAAAAAGATAAATTAAAATTGTTCATAACATATTTCTTGGTATTTATACAAACTTTTCAACTCTTACATAAAAGTATATTGTTTAAAAGAGGATTAAGTACACCATTTGAAGATAACTTTGGTAACAAAGAGTTTATATGGAATCTAATTTTAAAAGCTCATTTCTGTCCAATGATAAAAAAATGTTTTTTTAGATAACTCTCTTCATATGTACAAAATTATTAGCTTTTTTTTTTTTTTAAAGATTTTATTTATTTATTTGACACACAGAGAGAGCGAGAGAGAGAGCGAGAGAGAGAGCGAGCACAAGCAGGGGGAGCGGCAGGCAGAGGGAGAAGCAGGCTTCCTGCATGAGCAGGGAGCCCGATGTGGGGCTCGATCCCAGGACCCTGGGATCATGGCCTGAGCTGAAGGCAGCGGTTTAACCAACTGAGCCACCCAGGTGCCCCTATTAGCTTTTTTATCACAGAAGTTCCCTGACCTTAAACACTTGTTTGGTGAAAAAGCCTGAGCCCTTTTTGTGGTATAATTAAAACAGCACCAATATGGTTTCAAAAAGGGACAGAACCAGTACCCCTTTTTTTTAAGACTTTTTAAGTAATCGCTACACCCCACGTGGGGCTCGAACACACAACCCCGAGATCAGGATTCATATGCTCTACTTACTGAGCCAGTCAGATGCCCCAAGAATCAGTACCTTAACAGCCAGATTCTTCAGAGAAGAGACTTAAAAAGCTCAAGTCTCTCTTTCCTAGAGTGTAACTCAGTACGTTTTCAAACTATGGGGTATGTTCCTTTAGTTGTCAGGAAATCATTTTGGTGAGTTATGACCAGCTTTCTTCAAAAATAAGATAGAACAGGATGTATCACACATCGTACAGATAAGAAATCTTTGATTCAGATACACACACATTATAAAAATGTACATTTTGGGCTGCCTGGCTGGCTCAGTCGGAGGAGCAGGCAATTCCTGACCTCGGGGTTGTGAACTCGAGCCCCACACGGGATGTAGAGATTACTTGAATTTTTTTTTTTAAAGTACTGTTTAGTGTGGACCACTAAGTTTGAAAGCCCAGAATCCCTAGACCACCTTACATTGATTTCTCCAAATGCATTAACCCATACAAAATACATCTTCTTACCCTTGAATGATCACTTTTTTAAAGGATCCATATAGTCCTAAAGTGTCTTTCTTATCCCTCCCAATGAACTCTGTGTGTGCTAATTCTACCTTACATTTAGAAATAGCGCTCCTACTTCATGTAATTCTTCCTGTTTTCATATACTTTATTGCTATGTGTACTCAAAAAACTCAGTATATTAAATTTTCATTCATTTCTCAGTTTTAGTTATTTTGTGACTTTATTTATCATTCAAATTTACTGTGAAGATATCTACTTTAATGGACACACTGACAGCCATCTGAGACCATTCTCCAATGGCTGACTGGGTTACATGGCTAACTTTTAATATGCCATTTTTTTAGGCGTGGAGCCCAATGTGGGGCTCAATTTCACAACCCTGAGATCATGATCTGAGTGGAAACCAAGAGTGAGGCACTTAACCAACTGAGCCACTCAGGCACCCCAATAATATGCCATTTTTAAGGCATGGAAGGTATATATCCATGGTTCTTACACTCTATATATAGTCTTATTTACTAAATTAATTATTGAATTTCTAATATTCATCTCTCTCTAAAAATAGCCCTTCCTCTACTTTCTCATTTATCATTTCTTATAATGATCTTTGTTGCCATGAGGCCTTCCGTTTCCTGCCTGCTGAGATGATGTTCTTTTCGGCTTTCACAGAAAATACCAAATGAGAGTGTGGTGTTAACTACTTCACTGAATTTACTGTAGATGCCTTCCCCAATTTAAATCCTTCTCCAAAGCACATACAACAAAGATTGTACTTATTTACAATCTTGCAATTAAAAAATAAAGTCTCTTCTGAATTGTTTCAGAGATTGCAGCCCTTGTACAGTATGAAAACCTTAAAATGTACAAAGTTGGTTTCCAGAAGTCTTTCTTTGAGGGCATCCCCTCAATAGAATTTTGTATGCCTCTACTGAGGCTTTGGGTCCGTAATGTTCTTTAGGCAAAGCACCTGAAATTCTCCCTCATAAAGCCTCCCTTCTTTGCTCCCTAATCATAAAGAATTTATTACTCCTTACTTTTTCATAGTCATAATATTTAAATATATATATTTTTTAAGATTTTATTTTATTTATTTGAGAGAGAGAGACAGCGAGAGAGGGAACACAAGCAGGGGGAGTGGAAGAGGGAGAAGCAGGCTTCCCGCTGAGCAGGGAGCCCGATGCGGGGCTCGATCCCAGGACCCCGGAATCATGACCTGAGCCGAAGGCAGACGCTTAACGACTGAGCCACCCAGGCACCCCTTTAAATATATATTAACAGCACTTTCCACTTATTTACATGTCTGCCTCCCTAACTACCTGTAAGCTCCTTAAGGATTGAGTGCATGCCTTCTTTATTCTCCCAGAACTTAGTAGGACACCTGACCCACAAGAGTTACTCAACCAAGACTTCAAAACCAATGGATGGTAGTTATGGAAGCTAAAATTTATGTAAATTATTAAGAAAACAATGGTTATTTGTAAGATATAACATAAAATCAGAACCAAAAACAAGCATCCATGAAAAATACATATATTTAGCAAAGCCTGTTATAGCTATCTGAATAATAACAGTATTAGTTTGCTCTCTACTTTGCCACGTGCCAAAACTCACTAAGTAACAAGATACATCAAATATTTCTAAAATTTCTAAAAATTCTGTACCAAATAAGCAGCAGCAATAAAGATAATAATGACACTGGCTAATAACTATTGAGTTCTTTACATTTCAGTGTGTACAACACCATTAAGAACCTACAACATTATGTATAATAATATGTAGCTCTTTACATTTCAATATGTACGTAATAAGTATTAGTTCTTTACAATACCATATCATTTAATCCTCCCAACAACTCTGAGAGAGACTATTATCCTGGTTTTGAAGGACCGAAAAGGTTAAATGAAATTGTCCACGGTTACACAGAGCACCAAGAGTACTCACAAAATATCTAAGATCAAAAGCACTCACAACTTTTACCAGGACTTTATCACACCATCACTCTTCTTTTTTTTTTTTTAAGATTTTATTTATTTATTTGAGAGAGAGAGAATGACAGAGAGAGAGCACATGAGACGGGGGAGGGTCAGAGGGCGAAGCAGACTCCCCGCCGAGCAGGGAGCCCGATGCGGGACTCGATCCAGGGACTCCAGGATCATGACCTGAGCCAAAGGCAGTCGCCTAACCAACTGAGCCACCCAGGCACCCCTTAAGGCAGATAAGATCAGTGCATTTGTGAGACAAGCTCTTCCTCAGATGCGGTGCCAGATTTCAACCTTGTGGCTGCCTGCTCTAGCTTCCTGATAGCTGGCTTTTTCCTTCTACTCTGGTAACCTATTTTTTAATTATGCTTTTACTTAAAATAGGACATAATAAAAATTAAATTTGGGGAGGGAGGATAAAAGAAAAAAGTTATTCATAATCTTACTCATCCTAATACATTCTTTGGATATTATCTTCCAATAGTAGAAACAAAACACATAAATATCAGTTCAAAATCTACCTCCACCTTTTATTAGCTGTGTGGACTTTTGCCAAAATGCTTAACCTCTCCCACACCATTTTCATTCAATCATTCATGCAATAAACATTACTGAACACCCACTATGTACCAGGTGCTGCTCTAGTTGCTTAGGTTACCTCAGTGAATGAGAGACAAAGATCCCTGGTATTAGAAGTACATCTTCCAGCAGAGGGACACACAGTAAAATAAATTATGTAAGATGATAGTGGGTTATAATCACTGCTAGGGCACAGAGGCAAGTTGCAATTTATATTGGTCAGAGTAGGCCTCAATGAGGAGGTACACCTGAGCCAAGATTTGGAAGTCAGGGAGTTTGATTTGCAGATAGCTAGAAGAACATTCAAAGCACAAGGAACAGCGAGAGAGAAAACCCTAAATCCTGTGTACAAAGAACAGCAAAGATATCATAAAATTCAGTGAAGTCAAAGTACAGTTGAGGGGGGGGGGGGGCAATGCAGATAACATACTGCCTTATAGGTCACTGTAAGGACTTTACCTTTTACTGAGTGAAATGGAAAGCCACTGAAAGGTTCTGAGCAGAGAAGACACACAATCTTAGGTGTTAAAAGGACTACTGCAGCTGCTATATTGCAAATTAACTACACAAGCCGCAGGTTCATAATTATGGAGTTCAGAAGATGCCTGAGCTGAAGAATTAACTGTAAAAGAAGATAACACTTCACTGAGATATGAAAATTGTCCAATCTTTGTAAAGCACTTAACACTGTGCCTTACATATAGTAAATGACACAGTTATAGCTTCTGCCTTACACAAGGATACCCAGCATAGGAAATCAGAGAGGGTAGAAATTCAGCCCATGCTTCACTTGCTAAGCAATGTGCCTGGTACTCAGCATCAGCCTAGAGGAAGGGGATTCTCCTAATTCATACAAAGGAGGCAGCCCTTCTATCTGAGCTATAGACCTTTTGCTATTTAGCAATGGTGCCTTGGAGCTAGTAATGGCCTTAATCCTTGTCCATGTATATGCACAATTGCATTTTTTGATCCAAATCCTGTGCTACATTATTCTCTTTTCCAATTTAATTTTAAATATTTGATAATCATTTTTTTTTTTTTTTTTTTTTTTCTCTACAGGATTTTTATTGGAGGGTGGGGGTGGATATGGGCATCATGAAGTCCTCGGTACAGGAGCCAGGGCATGGGAAATTTCAGAGCTCCTTCGGTGGCGCACAGCCCAGAGGAGTGGGGGCGGCTCTCCTGGTGTTCAGGAGAAGGTAGTTTTTAGCTGCTCCTTCACTTTGTTGAAAGTCTCAGAAAACCAGTTCCGGGTCTTCGCAGGAAGGTCACTCTGCTTGATGCTCTCAATGGCTGCCCGGGCCTTGTTCTCCAGGGTGTTACCAAACTCCTTCAGTTTATCCGGGATGCGCTCCAAAGTGCTGGAGATTTCTGGGGCCGCCTGGGCGGGGGCTGGGCCTTCCAAAACCATCGCCAGAACCACCACCAAAACTGGGAGCGACAGGAAGAGCCTCATGGCTGGGGGCCGGAGGGGCACTCTGGATCAGTCGCGGGACAGCACGGTCTATTTGATAATCATTTCTGTAGTGATACTCCATTGTGTTGGATGTAATTCTTACTATTTTTAAGTCACAAATTTTTTCAAATTTTAAAATCTCTGAAATCAGAACCCATCTTACAAACAATAGTGTGCTCTATTTGTCCTGAGAACTTGAAATAAACACCTTCATATATATAGGTACTTTGCCTAACACCCTAGGAATGGAATTACTATGTAAAAAAGAATTATGTATAAGTGCTGCCACTTTCATATTTTTAGTATTTTAAAACTGGCCTTGAGTGACTTTGTTTTTAAGTTAAGTTTATTTTCTGAAGCGATTGGCCACATTTTTTCTTTTTTTTTTTTTTTTTTTTTTTGGTGGGGGAGGTTTAACCCGGAAAAGGAGGGTGGTGATGCTACTTCAACTTCTTAGAAGGGACAAAAGCTTCTAGCATATGAGCTGCCGAAGCAAGCACGTGACAAAAGCTTCTAAAGGTTTAAAAAGGGTAAAGATACAGATTGATAAAGCCAACATCAGTAGGTGAAACATTTGTAAGAATTTCATACCAGGTCAGCTTTCCATCAGCAGGTTAAGTATTGAGTGAGATTATTTTGTGTTTTTTTATACTCCTTCAAAGAAAAGTTGAATTCAGTAATGGCCTAGTCCCCAAAGAGCTCTCTGAACCCCTTCTAATAAGACGGGTTTATTCCTGGAAAAGGTAAAATGGAAGGTCTCTAGAGTGGGAGATGCCAGGTACAGGTGAAAGCATTCATGCCATTCTGAAAACAATGCTAACTGAATGCAGAGACCAACAGTTTCTTCCATAGCTGGGCAACCAGGCCCAATGAAACTGACATGAGTTCCCCTGCCTTACACTGAACTCAAAGACACAAGCCTAACCCACTGCACTCAAAGATTCCAATCAGCTGTTTAATCCTATCCTTTTAAAAATAAAAATACAGATTGCTAAGGATTACCAGACATTTCAGGAGAGCCTCTAACATGGATGATAAAGACCAAAACACACAGAGAAAAAAAACACAACTAAATGACTTGAGCTCTCAGATTAACTGGAGTTATCAGAAGAGAGCCCATCAAATGCCTAGCACATTAAATTTTACAATGGAAGACCAGAAGATCCTATAAACTTCTAGAGAAAAAATACAAAGCTTTCAGGAATAAGAATGGCTTCAGGGGAGCCTGACTGGCTTAGTCAGACTCTTGATTTTGGGGTCGTGCGTTCAAGCCGCATATTGGGTGTAGAGATTACTTAAGAATAAAATCTTTTATTTTTTTTTTTTGAAGATTTTATTTACTTTTGCGAGGGAGAGAGTAAGAGCGTGCGCGAGAGAAAGAGGAAGAAACCGACTCCCCAACAAGCTGGGAGCCTGATGTGCGCCAGGACCCTGGGATCCTGACCTGAGATGAAGGCACTTAACTGACTGAGCCACCAGGCGCCCTAAAATCTTTTTAAAAAACGAAAAAAAGAATGGCTTCAAATTTCCCAACACTGGAAGACATAATGTAGCAAAGCCTCTAAATTCTAAGGAAAAATTATCTCCAACTTAGAATAATCAGCCAAACTATCAATAAAGGTAGGAGAGACCTATTTTCAGACATTCAAAATTACAGAATGTTTAATCTTCATGATCCTTTTCTGAAGGAATTTGTTAGATGAGTAATAGTAAATCAACAAAAGAGAAAAGGTTGAGATCTAAGAAATGGCATCCACACAGGAAAGCAAATGGAATCCCCAGGAGGCCAGCGGAGGGAAATCCCTAGATAACAATTGTGCATCAGGGGACAAGAAGCCATAATTACGGGGTGCCTGGGTGGCTTAGTTGGTTAAGCATCTGCCTTCAGCTCAGGTCATGATCTCAGGGTCCTGGGATGTAGCCCCACATCAGGCTCCCTGCTCAGCGGGGATCTGTTTCTCCCTCTCCCTCTGCGCCACCCCCCGACTCAGGCTCACTCTCTCTCTCAAATAAATAAAACCTTAAAAAAAAAAAGCCATAATTACATGATTAGCAACCTCAAACTACCACCAACAGCCATCATCCATACAATTGCTTCTTCTTTTCTTCAGAGAATTGAGAGAGAAAAAGGGGGAAAGTTCACATTTTTAAAGTTCTACATGATCCTATATCCCTTTAAGTACACTCTTGTAGAGGAGATAGTGAGACCTGGGTCTTGAGAAACTCTAGGTAGTTGAACAACATGAATAAAAGGGTCTTAACAGCATAGGGTTTCCCAAAGCATAGCAACATATTATTCATGGTTTATAAAATGATTTTAGGAAACTTGTGGACATGACATAAAATAACACCCCATAAAGATCATGGTAAGGAAAAAGTTTCAGTTTGGTATCTTTAATACTTCTTTAGCACTTCCTAATCTTTTTTAATAAAAAATTTAAAAAAAGATTTCCAACTCAAAGCCACTGACAGACCATAATATCTAACTAAAAATTAATACTGTTGTTTCGTTAGAACAGCAGCAAAGGAATCTAGTACTACATGTGATTCCTATTCTAGCAACTTCTTCTGGGTTCATTATGACTATGTATTTTGAAAAGTGCTTTTAACATGGTTCTCCCCATTTTTGCAAAAAAGAAATCAACATGTGATACTGAGTCACATCCATTCACCCTCAATACATCACTACATCTCCAGCAAAGAAAATTGCACCTGCTTTGCCTCTGCATTCAGGATGATGTTATCATTCAGCCCTTAACTCTGTGACTCAAAGTTCTAAAAAAAAGTTAAAGTTCTATATTTACTATGGTATATATTTATTAAGAATTTAAACTGTCGCGGGGTGCCTGTGTGGCTCAGTCGTTAAGCGTCTGCCTTCGGGTCTCATGGTCCCAGGATCCTGGGATCGAGCCCCACATGGGGCTCCCTGCTCGGCGGGAAGCCTGCTTCTCCCTCTCCCACTCCCCCTGCTTGTGTTCCTGCTCTCCGTCTCTCTCTGTCAAATAAATAAAATCTTAAAAAAAAAAAAATTTAAACTGTCGGGGTGTCTGGGTGGCTCAGTTGTTGCACCTTCAGCTCGGGTCATGATCCCAGGGTCCTGGGATAAAGCCCTTCATTGGGCTCCCTGCTCAGCGGGAAGCCTGCTTCTCCCTCTCCCACTCCCCCTGCTTGTGTTCCCTCTCTCGCTGTCTCTGTCAAATAAATAAATAAAATCTTAAAAAAAAAAAAACTTAAACTGTCTTTTGAACTATGCTAATATTTACGTTCGCATTTACATTTACATTAGGAGTCTTAAATTGAATCTGGTCTGTCCTCATTTTACCTACAAGCCCTGTTATTTTTGGTGTATAAATCGATATGCCAAAATGTATGGATTTTCAGTAACATTTATTGCATTGTGGCAGGAATGCCTATATTGGTTTTCTATATATGGTAATGTTTTAAAGTTTCCTTTAAAAAATAAATGTACTAGGGCGCCTGGGTGGCTCAGTTGGTTAAGCAACTGCCTTCGGCTCAGGTCATGATCCTGGAGTCCCAGGATCGAGTCCCACATCGGGCTCCCTGCTCAGCAGGGAGTCTGCTTCTCCCTCTGACCCTCTTCCCTCTTGTGCTCTCTATCTCTCATTCTCTCTCTCTCAAATAAATAAATAAATAAATAATCTTAAAAAAAATAATAAAAAATAATAAATGTACTATAAATGTACTTAATTTTAAACATGAGCTATTTAAAATATTTAGTAATACAATAGATGAGTCTCTGTTCTAGTAAAAGGTAGTATGTAAATAAAGTTGGTGAAACACTAGTCTAGCAAAGGCAGTATATTTTGTTTACTGAAGTATATTTGATCATACAATATTAATTTCAGGTATACAACATAGTAATTCATTATTTACATATATTAGGAAATGATCATTCTGTAAGACTACTTACAGTCTGTCACCATTCATAGTTTTTACAGTATTACTGACTATATTCCCTATGCTATACACTACATCCCATATCTTATTTATGACTGGAAGTTTGTACCTCTTAATCCCCTTCATCTATTTGGTCCATTCCCCCACTCCCCTTCCCTCCAGAAACCATTGGTTTGTTCTTTATATCTATGAATCTATTTCTGTTGTTTTGTTTGTTCATTTGTTTTGCTTTTTATATTCCACATGTAAGTGAAATCATATAGTACCTGTCTTTCCCTGCCCGACCTATTTTACTTATCATAACACCCCCTAGGTCCATCCATGTTGTCATGAATGGCAAGATTTCATTCCTTTTTATGGCTGTGTAATATAATATCTCTGTGTGTGGGCGCACATGCACATGCCACATCTTCCTCATCTATTCATCTGCTGATGGACACTTAGGTTGCTTCCATTATCTTGGCTATTGTGTAAACAATGCTGCAATGAACATAAGGGTGCATGTCTTTTTTTTTTAAGATTTTTTATTAATTTATTTGACAGAGAGAGACACAGTGAGAGAGGGAACACAAGCAGGGGGAGCGGGAGGAGGAGCAGCAGGCTTCCCGCGGAGCAGGGAGCCCGATGTGGGGCCCGATCCCAATCAGGACCTAAGCCGAAGGCAGACGCTTAATGACTGAGCCACCCAGGCGCCCGCATGTCTTTCTGAATTATGTTTTCATTTTCTTCAGATAAATACCCAGAAGTGGTATTGCTGAATCATTTGGTAGTTCTATCTTTAATTTTTTAAAGAACCTCCATACTATTTTCCATTCCCACCAACAAAGTATGAGGGCTCCCTTTTCTCCACATCCTCACCTACACTTGTTAATTCATGTCTTTTTGATAATAGCCATTTCTGATGGCTGCGAGGTGATAATCTCATTGTGGTTTTTTTTTTTTTAAGATTTTATTTATTCACTTGAGAGAGAGTGAGATAGGGAGGGTAAGAGAGCGAGCGTGCGAGCCTGGGGGTGGGGGGCAGAGGGAGAGGGAGAAGCAGAGTCCCGCTGAGCAGGGAGCTTGATGCGGGACTCAATCCCAGGACCCTGGAATCATGACCTGAGCCGAAGGCAGATGCTTAACA